CCCATCCACCTGTCTCTCTGTGTCTACCTCCCTCCCTCCCACCGCTCTGTCCCTCCGTCCACGTGTGCCCGCGCCTGTGTACACCTGTGCGTGTGCAGTTGCTCCCATACACGGACCTGGCTCATCTTGCACAAACGCCATGGGTGTGTATAGGTGCAGCCAGAGACCAGCGCCCTGATGTGCGTGTGCGCAAACCCCGTCATCAGAACACGACGTCACCCCGAAGGTGACCCACTGCGTGAGCTAGACAGAGCCCGGGCTGTGACCCGGCTGCTCCTTTGTAGGAATCTCCCTTTTTATTTATCTTGGGTCCCGGTCTGGCCGTGTAGCCCAGGCTGGCCCTGAGCTCACTACGCAGCTCGGCTCGCCTCAGGGCTCCTGGAGACCCTCCTGCCTCAGCGTCCCCGGGGCGGGGATCCGAGGCACGCCCTGCGCCCCGGGCTTAGGGATCTGCTCCCAGGACCTAGTTCCAAATCTGAACCGCATCCCCCAGACAAAGACAGGACTGTGTCGCACACCAGGGTGCGGCGGTCGGACCCCGAGTCGTGCGACAGAATGTCTAGCGTGGGCGGTGTGCGCACCCCTCCGGGCCTTCCTGCCCAGGGCGGCCCTCAGTCAGTCAACCAACCGATCAATCAATCGATCAATTGATCGATCAGTCAGTTAATTGATCAAGTAAAGCAAACAGTGGTTAGTGACAGGAGACACGCATGTGTAAAGCACAACAGCAGCACTGCAGGGCGCGAGGGCCCTGGGTTCCGACCGCCGTGTCCTCTCGGGGCCCAGTCCGCGGTGGCCGACGTGTGCAACGTGACCTTCGAGGGCCTGGACGTGGAGCGCTGCCACCTGTTCCGGGCCAGGGTGAAGGCGGACGAGGCCTCCTACGGCCCCGATATCCCCCCCAGCGACTGGACCCAGGTCGCCCACTGGAGGGGCGCCGCACCCCAAGGTGAGCCTGCCCCGGGGCTGCAGGGACGCGGGGACATTGTCCCGCAGCACCGCGTGACAGCCGGGCTCAAGGGGGTGCAGGCGCTGGCGAGGTCGGTGTGGCGGACAGCACAGGGTCGGGGACACCCACGGGGAGGGGTCGGGGACACCCACGGGGAGGGGTCGGGGATGGGGAGTGGATGTGGCGGGCGGG